TGATATTAGCTTCATTATGTTGTCCGGTTTGCTATGATAACAAATTGCATTTAGAAGAAAATTCTAGATTTGAGCTATTATAAATATTATAAAAAATATTTTTTACTTCTAATTATTAATAAAAACTATATTTAGACATATATATTAAAGTGTGAAAATACAGTAAGATGGTTGTTTAATAAAAAATTGTTCCTGTGTTAAATGCTTTATAAGTAGTAGACTTTTGATGTTATTCACTAAATACTTTAAAATATCGCTAAATAATACGTTAAAATATCGCTACGTTAAATAAAACTAAGAAAATGTGTGAAGGAATGTGCCCCCTATAAAATATAATAACTTCCTACTGACAAACATTCATAGTTTTTAGAAAAAATGTAATTATAAACTTTAATTGTGTTTTTCTCAAAATGACAATTTTGCTGTTTTTTGTCTACGGAAAACAAGATAACTCAACTAATTATAATAAATTTGTCTTCAAACTTTCAGAGATTGTTTCTTGTATTGGTGGTTATGTAACAGACCTCCAGAATTCAGATAACTGTATTATTTTTTGTTTTATGAGATATTTTGCAGTAGATAATGTGAAGAAAATGTGAAAAAAAATGGAAAAATATGCTTAACACTCCATAAATTTTTTTAATTTCATGATATCATTTAAGTTGAGGTTCATAACACTTCAGAGGGTTATACGAAACGGCTCAAAAAGTTTGATAGCTGTATGTACAATAGTTTTTTGTGTAGAGTGTTTTCCGTTAATGAGTTATTTTCATTAAAATTATCTAAAAAATACTCTTTAAACAAAAAATTTCCTGTATATTAAAATTTTCTCTATTAAATATGTTTATTTAAATTAATATACAATATAAATTGCAATAATGTTGTGAAAAATATTTATTTTTCAAAAATTTTGTCCCGAAGGTAGTCGGATACCTTAACTTACTCTTTAAATTTCGAATTTGGAATTGTGGATATTATGACTCTGAGTAATGTTAAAATGTCGTAATTCATCATTAAAAAAAAATCGATGTTTAATATTTGATATTTCTGATTAGATTTATTTTTAATAAATCAAATAATTGTTTTATCCTACAGACTGCACTCTTTAATGTGACCTTCTTTACAGCAACCCTTTCATTATAACAACTGATACATAATATCCCATTTTCTATTTCATAGATTCAGTAATATTTTAATACACATTATAGCATTCAATCTGAAATATTTATTCCACTTTAAAGCCCAAAATTTATAATAATATTTTTTTCTTTATTACTGAAACAATTTATAAAAATTTAAAAAAAATGATTTAATTTTTTCTTTTGATGTTACAGTACATTTAATGTGATTTATCTTGCATACCCTTTGAAGGATGATACACTAGTTCTTATTTTAAGTGGTTGGGAGTTATATAAGTGGCAGTGGTATACTTATGTAATAGTTATTGTATGTTATTTTGCTAGTTAGTTATGCAATAGTTATTGTATATTACTTTGCTAAATATTAGTCTATTATTTATTATTTATGAGTGAATATTTAGAATATACTTTGTTTTTAAACATAATATTTTTATTATGACCTTTGTTTCATTCAGAGACTTTTCATTGGCAGTGTATATGTTGCTTTTTGTGTGACTTTTTTTATTTTAACTAGTGAATTTTCTATATATAAAAAGGGAAATCCTTAGAAAATGTAAATAATAAATTTATTGATTTATTTAATCAAATGTGACTATCATGAGGTTGGGTGGGTAACATTAAGTCACAAATGTTAAAACTTTGAGAGACTATGTTAAGTTCATTGTAATTAATGTGCCTTGTAATAAAATTTTAAATGTTTCATGATCTTTAATAATTTCTAAGATCCTCTATCTAACTTATTATAATTATCTTTTGCTTTAAATATTTATTTCTAAATTTTAACTATTGCTATTATAAAAAGTTGGATTATTATTTTTGGAGTTTATAATGTTTTGGAATATATTAAGGTCATGGAAGACTGTTCCAAAATAATGTCTCTTGTATGGGTCTAAAGAATTTTTTTGTCACGGAAATGTTCAAGTTTTATGAATAGTTTTAAAATTGAAACATTGCATCTCTAATTGCTATTGTATTTTGTCATTTAGTAATGTTAAAAATATTAGATCCAGAGTCAAGTCTAGGAAATAGGTTTGAATTATATGAAGCTGATATACTAGTTTGTCTAAAATATAGTATTCATGATAATATATTATATTATTACATTATGCCATTTATAATAATATATTATATTGACAATATATGTATTAGAAGTAAATACATTAGTTTATAAATTATATTTCAAAGCATTTCCTTATTTTAATTTCATTCTTATGCTCTTTTTTTGTTAAAAGTAAATTTTTTCTTTAATTAAATGATTTTTAATTCAAATAAACTACAATAGAAGTTCTTTATAATACAAACCTCAAAACCTAAATCTTTGAAGTTTGTAGAGTTTTGTATAATATAGTTTATTTTACTTATCTTCAAACGTACCTACTAAACCTGGCAGCAATATTAGTCTGAGGCAGATCAGTCATAAAATGCTTTAAATTAATTTTTGATACAAATGCAAACTTCCCGCAGTGGACTGATCGTTAAGACACGGTTCCCAGCAGATCACCGAAGTCAAGCATCACTGGTTGCGGTCAGTGTGCGGGTGGGTGACCCACTTGGATCAGTCTGCGTAGGGACTGAGGGTGTGCGGTATTGGTCCTCGTTAAACTGTGCTACCGTAAAGTGCTCGACTTCGCGTGCAGGTCGTCGGGCTACCGAAGCGGGGGTGCCATCCCCTCTGCAGAGGATCAAAATTGTGATGGCATGTCTTCGGATCATCCTCAGGGATGTTTCCCAGACCGTCGCCTATAGCTCATTGTGCAGCTCTAGTGCGACGTAAATGAACTACCTACCTACAAATGCAAACTATGCACTTAAGTATTTATTATTTATGTGAAAAAAATTTCTTTAGCATTGAAGCTAATAGCAAAGAAATTAATGAATTTTGGTTCTCTTAGCTTTTGAAATTTTAACCTCTTAGTAAATAATTAAACATGTAATGTAAAAAGTTAATAGTTCTTACTTAGTTATAGAATATTCTTTATTGTAAATTTCATTGTTTACACCCATAAAACTAGTGTGGTTTATAGAATTGTGTTAGATAGATCTGCAACCGTCTTTCAATTTGTATGCTAAAATTAAAGTTATTAATTTCAATAGGAAATAATTGTAAGTTATTGATTGGAATAGTCAACAATATTATTTTCTCTTTTTTTTTAACTCTTCAATTTTATTTTACTAAAATGGAAATTTTTTACAGAAATTTGTAACAGATATTTTGCAAATTGTTTAAATATAAGAACAAAGTGTTTAAATATAAGAACAAATTGTTTAAATGTAAGACATATATTAAATTTCAAAACTTATAACGCTTATGTTAAAAGTATTTTATTTAGTTTAAACAATAACAAAACTTGAAAATACATTAAGAGCTTGTAATTTATGAGTCATTATAGAACAGGTATATGACGGAAAATAATTTAAAAGGCAATATTTTAAAACAATGTTATCTAACAGAATTGTGAAATGTAAAAAATATTTTTTTAAATATTTAGCATTTTTAAAAATATTCTTACACATAATTCAAATTGTATAGATAATTTTCTTTATTCAAACCTCATAAAACCATTTTGAGATTGAAGGTTAATGAGGTAACATTAAAGAATGACCACTTAAAATTATTTATTTTAACTTTATTCTAGTGATTTTTATTTCATTTTATGTAAATTTTAAAATTGGTGTATGCTTTTTAATAATTTGCATTCTTTTTATGTGAAAAAATGTAGGTAGTTTTTGTGCAATAAAGTTCATATCTATGATAAAGGTAATTAAAACAAAAATAACAAAAGGAAAAATATTTCGATTTTCATAACACTTTTTGAGAAAGTATTTAAGTTTATATCTATGTTGTATTTTTTTCTATTTCTAAGTCTATACCTCTATTAGTGCAATTGAAGATATTTTTAAATTTAATTGTTGATTGTGATTAAAATGTAATCTTTTTAAAAATATTTTGCCACAGCTTTGGCTTGATATTTTTACCTTAGATGTTCAAGCTTTTTTATTGTTAATTTTGACAGTGTATTTTTTTGTCATTTTTGATGAAAGCTGCAATTAAAATTTGCAATTTCTGTGCAACCAATTTTGTATCCAACATACCTGTTTCTGGAGCCCTAGACATAATTCATGTCGGTGTTAATGCATATATATTCTATGTCAAGTCATAATCAGGTACTTTTAAACTTATCAGATGGACTAAAAATGTTATTTTCATTGGAAATCATTATCTACTTATTTAGTAGAAAATCAGTAGAATTTAGAGAATTCGGTAAAAATCTCTAAATTCTAGAAAACAAAATTTTCGTGGGAAAATTTCTCAACTGGAATAAATTTTGTTATAGAAAGACTTCTTTGTATTTTGAATTCAGAAATGCAAATTTTTTGCGATATTACGCATGAAGTTGCATCCCAATTAATTAATCCCTTTTATTTAAATAAATACATTAAAGATTTAAAGAGAAAAATTTAAATAATTTTTAAAATAAAATTGATGTAGCTTCTCAAATATTATGTTAATTGCAGAAGTATATTGTCCATAATTTTTTACATCTAAACATTTAAATAATAGTGGTAGGCAATAATTCGTAAAAATATCAGTGTGAATCATTACTTATCTTTCAAGAAAATAGGTCTAAGACAAATTAAATTTTTTAGAATATATTTTGTTCAAATTTAATAACATAAATTTGCTTTTTTCTGATAAAATATTTTTTTTAACCCCAATTTTCCATGAAATTTCCAGCATTTTTAGAATTAAACAGCCCCTGTAAGAAGTGTGCTTGTGCACCTTGGTACAAATGTGTATAAATGTGCAAAAATTTCTATTATTCGAAAATATGCTGCTCGAATGAAATAAAGAAAATGTAGTGTTATTTACTTATTTGTATAATATTTACTGGTTTTTTGATACATTAATTATCAACTAAAATAAAAACTTTTCTTTGTAAAACGGTTAGAAAATTTTCTTTATAAAAGTTATAAATTGTTTACAAAGAAGTATCTTTTATTATTATAAATATTACAAAAATTGTAAAAGTGTTATAGAATGCAGATAATTTTATTTGCTGGTGTAAATTTTTATGTTTAATAATTGTAATTTTATTTTTTCATAAAAGTTAATTAATTAGTATTAATATTTATTATTTTCATAAAGTATTCATAAAAATTAATTTATTAAGATTTCCACTCAAGTTATTATTTTGAATAATTATATGTTTTAAAAAATTTACATTACATTTCCAAACACATACTGATAATTCTTTCTTTGTTTTCAAAGCTGTGATTAATAGCTTAAAGTTATTTTCTAAACAACTTTACCAGACAAAACTTATTGAGCTTTAATTTTTTGAAGAAAAAAAAATGTAGGTGTTAGCTAAAGTTTTTATTTGATAAATAGAAAGGGAATAAAGTAACAACAACATTAAAAAAGAAATTTTTTATTTACAAAAAATTAAATCATAATTTTTTATTGTTAATTAAAATAAATGGTAAAGTTTTTTTTTTTTAAAATTCATACATTACTATCATTTTTACTTAAGTTATTGCATTAAAAATACGTTTTAATTTGCTTACATATAATTACATGAGGAAAACTATTGTTTAGTCATATTAAGAATACTATATCTGAAAAACAATTTGCTGTTTTGTTTTTCCATGTGAATCATTATAAATTCTCTTTTTAGTCTTACATTTCAAATAAACTCATTGCATGAAAAATAATTTGTAAAAAAAGTTTTTTTCTTCCAATTGAACAATTCAGGAAATATCTTCCAATTTGCTACTCATTTCATACATTGCTCATTTTGTTGTATGAAACCTGAAAATTGATTTGAAAATTATTTCAATAAGCCCTGTTAAAGTGTTTTCAATTCATTTTATCACATGACTGCATATTGATAAAATGAAACACGCTTTCATGCTTGTAAAAATCTGGTTTTTCACATCGTGGTGTCAAATCATCATCAACTTTTTCTGAACAATCATCTCCATCACACACTTTGTCTGATAAGATTTCTTTAGTTATTATCAGGCTTTCTTTCCATGATTGCATCTGACATGAACAGTTCCATGGATTATTGTGCAAACCTAGTCCTTTCAAAGTTGAAACAGTTTGAAACAGTCCACCAGGAACTTGCTTCAATTTGTTGTTGTTTATTAATACATAGTGAATGGACCTCAAGGAGGAAAAGAGTCCCTCAGGAAGACTCTGCAGTAGGTTGTTTGACAAGTCCAGAATATGAAGGTTTTCAAGTCCGTGGAATGATTCTTGATATACTCTCTCTATTTGACAGTCTCGCAACACCAGCTTTTTCAACACCTTGTGGGCGCCATTGAAAGCTCTATTATTGATGAATTTGATACGTCCATGCAAATTGAGATGTATCAAGGACTTTAAGTCATAAAACATGTGTTCAAAAAGTGCATCATTGTCAATGTTTGGAATGTGAAGGTACAGCAGAGAATACAGGCCACGGAAGCTGAATTTCATGAGATGTACTGGTTGCTGTTTATGACCTAGAGTAAGATGCTGCGTCCCATTTAAAAACTGGAAACAGTGAGGGAAAATTACCTTTATAGGATTATGCTTCAACTCTAGCCACTGAAGATGAGGTAGAGGAGGAAATGTTACTCCAGAGAGATGGTCAATATAATTGTTGCTCAAGTCTAGGTATTCTAGCTTTAGCAACCCAACAAAGGCATCTGCTTCAACTGAGAACAGATCATTGTGTGAGAGGAATAACCTTCTCAGTTCAGGTGTGCCATAAAATGCAAACCCATACAATTCCTTAATGCCACTTTGAAGCAAGTAAAGCTCTTTAAGGCTTTTTAATCCATCTAGCATTTCCCATTTTAGGTAGCCTATATCACAATGGATGACATAAAGGACCTCAAGAGATGATAGTTTTGCAAATGCTTTCTGGGCATTGCTGATGTCCACTTTTTGCACTGACAAGTATTTCAATTCATCCAGCCCATGAAATACGTCGTTGCTGATCGAAGTTTTTGCACCATCCAGTGATCCCTGCAAATCTATGTTTTTAACATCAGTAAATCCTTTAAACTCATTCTGGGTGAGCGTCATTGATGTATCACCGTCCCCTTGCAAGATGGTAATGGATTCAATTTCTGTGGGCAAGTCAAAGATAGACTTGAGGCTCTCATTTTTCAGAACACACAAGACAGTTCTTACTGTACTGTTTTCTGGTTTCCAGCGAGATATGAGTGTTTCAGAAGCTGTTACAGAGCTGCATTGGCATTCTGTTGGACAGGTGTTGTTCCAGAATGACTCACTTGAAATCTAAATTTTAAAAAGAAACAATTTTTAATGCATGCTTATTGAGCATTTAGTTCAATAAGTACATTTAGTTCATAAGTAGATTTACACGTAGAACTTTTTGTTGTTATTTTTAAGGCATGTGAGACTGGGTAGGGGGAAGAACAGATACATTTCTGCTTCAGGGGATCATAAAAAAAACCTCAATTTAATATTAAGGTCTGGTGGCCGAGCGATTAGTGTATCTGACTGTGAAGGCAATGACTGCGGGTTTCAATCCTGCTCAGTGCATGGATATTTCTCTCTCTGATTTGTTCTCTGTTGATTTTGAATGTGGCCCTCCTTATGAATGGGGTATCTGTGGCAGTGTGGCACGGGTAATGTTTATCGCCTCCGTGACTTTGGTCACAAGGCGCCCACCAAATAATGCAAAATGAGCAACACTTCTGACACCTTCCATGGCAAAGAACAATAAGTTCAGCGCCTGTCGTTAAAAAAAATATTAAGGTCTGTGGCAATTAATTAAGGTAATAAGCATTACTGGTATCATTGTAATAGGTACCTAATATTGGTATTATGGTTATAAGTTTTTAAAGCGCCAGAAGTAGATTAAAACCAAAAGTTTGCAATCGCAAAAGGAGTAGTAAAAATTTACTGTAAACAACAGGTGTGTCTAAAGTAGAAGGACTTAACTGAAAAATTTACAATTTAAAAAAAATCCATTACTTTATCATATTAATCGATTGCTTCGGTTACTATGTTTAATAACCTTTTTGTTATCATGCTGCTAACTAATTTATCATATTAGGAATAATGTATGTGAAGAATATTTGAAAAAATGGTTATTATGTTTTTTATTTCATGTGTGAGATTCTTTGTCGAATTAGAAATTTTTAACAAGAATTTTTTAAAAATGTTTTTATTATTTGTATATGCTAATAATTTAAACTTCTTGTGTACCGTACGTTAAATGTATAATTAATGGATGTATAATTACTAATATAAGTGTTGATCTAAACATAAATATATTTTAAAAAACCTAAACCAAACATTATTGGCTAAGCAGTGTATGATAAATAAAGTATTATCTCTGGCTTCTCTAATTGTAATCTTTATATTGTAATTTTATATTCTGCAATGTAATATTCATTTTGAATTTATTACTCGATTAATTTTCTTTTCTAAATTATAAACATTGAAATTTGTGCGTATTTACAATGAATGAAGTATTATATTTATCTTATATATTTTCAAATGAATGGGTTTAGCAAATAAAAACTTATTAAATACGATTTTTTATTGCAAAAAAATTATGCAGAAATGATTTTGTCTTTTATTTTTTTTAATTAATGTATTTTAAAACTTATTATTCCATATTTTATTTAGCTTAATCTATTCGTTATTATTTAAACTATCAACATTTATATTGACAATATTGGGAAATAAAATATTCTTTTAAAAAATTACTTTCTTACAGTCTAATAAAGTTATATTAAATTATAGAAAACAATGCATAAAAAATTGTAAATAATAAAATAGAAAATGTTGGAAAACTAAACTTGTAATTATTTTTTTATTTTTTTCAAATTTAAATTTATATAAGATGCCGAAATAAAGATTATTTTGTAGTATCTTGATATATTTTTACATTTGTTGTATGTGTATGTAAAAAGATATAGCATAGATAAATTATTATTTAAATTGAATTGCGATGAGTCCGAAAATCAGCCATCACTACTTTTTTTTAAAAATTGATATTTTTGATTTTAGTTGGGATATAAAAAATTCATATCTTCCTAAGTATATTTTGTTCAGTGAAATCTCAATTTAGTTTGAAAACGTGCCATATCTTGGCGATGACCTGTTCTTGGAATAAACTTTTAAATATGTGGCTAGCTTGCTGCCGTTGTTGCTTGTGAAATTGTTCACAAACATAATAATTAATTATTTAGTTAAGGCTTGTTATTTCGTTGACACACAATGAGTGATTCAGATGGCAGTTCTTTAAACGGTATATGTCAGTGGGAGTAACTATGAACTGTTTCAAAAGCTATTGGCAGAGCATAAGAAAATGTGTTATCAAAATGCTCCTAGGAAGGGTAATTAACCTAGGAAGGTAATAAGTAAAATATTGTTATTTTACTTATTAAAGCACTATACCAGGAGAAATTGAGGTATCTCCTTTAATTGGTGGTTTATGCAAATTAGCATTTATTCTACTAGACAGTACCCTTTAAAGTGGCACCATAGATTTTAGATACCAGGAGAAATTGAGGTATCTCCTTTAATTGGTGGTTTATGCAAATTAATATTTATTCTACTAGACAGTACCCTTTAAAGTGGCACTTTAGATTTTAGGCACCATAGATTTTTAGATTTTAGAAAGCATATTATTATTTAGATAAATGGATTTCTTTTTATTTTTAATTTCATTGCAATTGTACTCAAAAACATATCTCCAATGTTTCTATTTTCTAAATTATGTATGCCTCAAGCTGAAATTTTAAGACAAAATTAAATTTAAACAACTGCAGGAAAGTTTTTTCTTCAAGCAGATAGTGTTTGATTTCCTTGCAATTATATTCAACAACTTATCTTAAATTATTCAGGTATCCAAATTATATGCATTGCTCAATTTGATTTTTTTGAAGATAATAATATATTAAAGCAACAACAGCAAATTGTAATTTTTTTCTCCATAGAAAGTATTTTCTTTTAATCCTTATCTATTGTTATCAACAACTTACCTCATATGATTCTGATATCCAAATTAAAAGTGAGAGTACTAAGTATGATTTAGGGTGAAGCATTCTTGTGGTATTTATTGATGACTCACATTCAAATCTGGTTGTAAAAATGGATACATGTATCTCATCACATTTTAAAAAAACAATTGACCATTGCACGTGTAAGTGGTAGAGGAGGAGGGCTTACTATGGATGCCCCCAAAATTGTGTTTTTGATTACGGAAATAGCCACTTCCTGTTTCCTGTGCTTTTGAAGATCAAACCCCTTCCTATGCTTCCTTTTTAATCATTTTCTTGTGTCCTTACAAGCTATCATACTCTTGTTTCCTCCTCAGATAATAAGATTGTTTCTCAACAATACTTAAAAGGAAATAATAGTAGAAATTTGGTTATATTTTTAGACTGAGGAAATGTATTTGAATCCAGACCTTTGATCACAACTTAAGGATTATGTTACTGTTTATGTTATGGCCCAGCATAATTTTTTTTATGTAAAAAGTAAAATTACTGTAGAATGTGAATATTTTTTGGGGAAAAGAGTAAAATTTTTGTTGAAAAGGGATTATATTTTTTTAAAGATAATATTACTGTGGCATTGGGATTTTAATAATATCCTTATAACTACTGAATTTTACTTTTTTTTTTTATGAAAAAAGTAAAAATACTATAGAATATGAATAATATTTTTTGTGAAAAGAGTAAAATGTCTGTAGAATATGGATTCTAATTTTTTATGGGGATAAAATTACTATGGAATAGTGATTTTAATTTACTCCCTATAACTGATTTTATTTTACTCCCTATATATTTTTATGATAAAATTACTGTGGAATATAGATTTTAATTAATTCCCTTTTACTACTAAATTTTACTTTTTCATGAAAAAAGTAAAATTACTGTAGAATAGGGATTATAATTTTTTATGATGATAAAATTGTTGTGGAATAGGAATTTTAATTAGTTCCCTATAACTACTGAATTTTCCTTTTTTTTATAAAAAAAAGTAAAATTACTTTTTATCTTTTCTTTATGAAAAAAGTTAATATACTGTAGAATGTGAATAATATTTTTTGCAAAAAAAGTAAAATATTTCCAGAATAAGGGTTATAATTTTTCATGGTAAAATTACTGTGGAATAGGGATTTTAATTATAACTACTTTAATTATAATTCCTTATAACTACTGACTTTTACTTTTTTTATCAGAAGAAAAATTACTGAGGAATTTGGTTTACTTTTAATTTTTTTACTATATCAGTGGTTGCCAACTGGTGGCCCGTGAAGCTTTTTTTTGTGACCTGCAAACTTAAATATATTAGTTGTTATTTTTTTTGCGGACATTTTAAAAAAAAATCTTTATGGGTTTAAAATACTTTTTTTTTTGTTAAAAAAAGCCTAATTTCTTCGTTTCCGTGAAATTTAACACACCAATGGTGCAAAAAAAATATTTTTCATGTAAAAATCTACTTTGTATTATGATTTGTAATTCAATATTTTTGTTTTGTACAACTTGATAAAAATTTGACAGTAATATTTAATGTTCCTTCAAACATAAAAGAGTCCTATATAAAAATTTGATAAAGTTGCGGCCCGCCATTTGATTGATGTTTTTAATTGCGGCTCCCAACCTCATGTAAGTTGGAAACCCCTGGTATATATATATTTTGCATGACATTATTTCGACTAACTTTGCGTGAATGCAGAAAGTATAATTTATAAATGCTTTATTTTTACTTGATTAAAAAATTTCATCCACTTCAAAAATATACATATTGGAAATAACTGTTAACATGCTTTCAAGCCATCCATTTTCTAGACTTGCCTGGCATATGAAGTGCTTGAAACATGTTGACTGTTACTTCCAATATGTATATTTTTGAAGCGAAAGAAATTTTTAATCAAGTTGGTTAGTTTAAAAATATATATTTTACCTCTTCCATTTCTTGAAATAATTTATTTAAGCCTTTTGGTTGTTGCCTTTAGTACCAGTTTTAGAGTTACTCATATATGTTGAGCATTTTGACTTTTGGTATTTAAATTTTTAAGAGTAACTGAAACAAATGGTAACCTCCTATAGCTAACATAGAGATGTTAAAATTTATACATCATTGTATTTACTGTATGTTTAAAAATTCATTATTAAAATTTTAGAATTTTAATATTTATATGACGTTATTTCATATGAAATAAAATTTTAATTATTTATATATTTATCCATTATATTTTCCTTGATTTCTTGGTTTGCTTCACTCAGTTCTTTTCCCTTGAAAATTTTACTTTTTTTTTCAATAATTAACATAAGATATACTCAATTATTAAAATTTATTGAATTTTGTTTATTTATTAATCAAAGGGTATCTATGAAACTGGCATACAAATGTTTTGTTATTAAGATCGAAATTGCATTATATATTTATGAAATATATTCTAATAAATAGTGGATATTTCAATTTTAGATATACCAGCAAGTGGTATGTACTTTATGTCATATGAATGGCTACAAAGAGTCATGACTCCGGCAGGGAAAAGGTATCTTTATATATTTTTGTTTATAAATCAAAACTGAATGATAGATTATATTTTGTGCAAATGAATTGTAGTTACGTAATTGTTCTCTATAAAAGTAGCATTTAGGTTGAAAGTAGTAGTAATTTGTAGTTTAATTTTGTAGTCGTTCTGATCTCAGTGTTGGGAGAACTCTGCTTGCTGGAGGCTGCGCTGGGATTTGCAACTGGGCTGTTGCAATACCTGCTGATGTTTTGAAGTCACGCCTCCAAACTGGTATATATTTTATCAATTTTTTATGCTGATAACTAAATTACAGTGTTCTTAGAAGGGCTGCCTGCTCTTTGATGCACTCTTTTTGTAAAAATAAGCTGCCATCCCTTAAAAACTCTGCCTTTTTCTTCATATTCCATTTAAAAAAAATTAATTCACTGTTTAAATAATAATTACACTCTAGTAAACTTTTCTGCGTTTATAGGTTTAATTCTGATTACTCTTCTCAACTGGTTAAATTTTTATAAGTTTCTCTTTTTCACGGGTATATATTAAATTTTTTAGAAGATTTTAAAATTATTTTTTGAATAAATATATCTATTTTTTTTAAAAAAAATGTACCTTTATATGTTCATTGTCTTATAATTTTCAGTTTAAATTATAGAAAAAAGCTTTCAAGGTGCTTATAAATCATTAATTTTTTTAGTTTGCTTTTTTTGAAAAAAATTGTGCACAGTTATTTTTTATAAATTACACATTTTTCTCTTATTTTGTTAATGAGAGAGCATATAAAATAGTATAAGAGGGTAATTTAAAAACCGTTGAGGATCAAATTCAGTTTATTACACATTTGATAAATTTTTATAATATTAAATGAGTATCCTTTCAAAACACAGAGTGCCATTTTCTGTGAGGAAGCACCTTACCCTTTTTTATTCCTAGGAAGAACTTAGTAAATTGTAAATGCTGAAAATTTTTATATTCATCTGCTTTTATAAGAGTGCTTTTACAGCACTGAATAATTATTATAATAATTTGTTTTTTAAGCATGTTATATTTACATTTTTCTATTATAAATCATTTTATTTTTTCATTGAATCTAACTAAAGCCCTTTATAATGTTAGAAGATTTCACCATCTTTTATAAGTTTTATTTTCCAGAACAATTGAATAAATCTTATTCAATATGTTGCTGGCCTAATTGAAAATTTTTTTTAGTTCTCTTATATTCTCTAGTTTGGATTAAAAAACAATTAAAAGTGTTTATATAGTTTTAAGTATTCATAAGATTTTTTATATCTATATTTTAAATATCTATTGTTTGCTTCATTACAATTACATTTTAATTTACATTTCTGTTCAGGAAAATGTGTGAGCTTTTTAAAAAAACTGAGAATATATATATATATATATTTGTAAAGAAATATTTAAGTTTAAATGAAAATTAAAATGTATTTCGATTTAAACTGGTTTAGATATAAGAAAAAAATAATACAAAGAAAACTTTATTTCTTGATTAGGTTTTATTATTTCTAAACTAAGAAATTTATTCTCAATATATTTTTTTTATAATTCTCTAAGAAATATATTTTTTTTCCTTGACTAGTTATGCTAATAAACAATTTAAAAAAAATTTAGATTCTCAATTACTAGCTAAATGCTTTAATTTATTTTCTTTGAATAATACTTATTTCATTACAAATGAGGAGTATGTTACAGTAGTTGTCTGGTCAATGGAACTGTAAACTTAACTAACCTTAAAACTTTTGTACTGCAGTGAATTAATTTTTACATTTAATAGACTATTTTTAACTTCAGTAAGTTAAATTTCCACTATTGCAGTTATTACGTTTTACAATATTTTCATTTCCTTCAGAAGAAATAACATTATAACTTAGCTATTTTATTGCCTTTGGAAGTTATGTTTTTAATTTAGTCAAATAACTTCATTCATCCTGCATGTCTGGAACAATATCCACTTATTATCATTTGATATTATTGTGTTGCCATCCATGGCCATATGATATAAAAATTTTGTTAATTTTGATTTTTCTTCACTTAACTAATTTTAACTCTTTTTGATACAATTAAGAAAATTTTTTGCCACACTTAGGAAGTAAATACCCATTAATTATGTTGTTTATATTACTTATTTAATTATAGCTTCTTTTGATAATTTTGAAAAAGATGTTGGAAATTTTTCTCTTGTGCAAATTTGGTTGAATATTTTTACCAATATCTTTATTTTAACATCTTAAATGACAGTTATGCACAAAATATCGATATACAAAAGTATAATCTCTCATTTTTATATTTTTAGATAATAAAAATTAAAATATAATAACAAATGTTTAATAGACCAATAAAATTTATATCAGGGGGAAAATATAATTTAATGAAAATTTTCTATGTCCATATAACTTTTTTACTATCAGTGGTTTATTTGTTACTGATTAAATTGCCAGTTTAATCTATTTCTGAGTTGTAACCAGGATGCATAGCCAAATCTTTGAATCAAAAATAAGCACTTTTTAAAAACTTTTCAAGCACTTTACAAAAATTTTCAAGCACTCAAAAAATTCATATTGAATCAATGATATTATTGAAAAACAAAAACTTTTTATGAACAGTTTTAGCATTAAAAAAAAAAACTCAAAAAGAAACGGACGTAAATCGAAACAATCAGTACTTTCCCACGTCACCGAGTGAATTCAACTTGACTCTGAACCAAAGTACCCTTAAAACCTACATCAAAAAAGTGTTAGAAGTAAAATAAAATAAACAAGAATAAAATTATAAATTAAAAAGAAAAACATTTAATAAGGATCTGACTCCGAATTGGAGCACTCGGGTTTCAGTTTCGAGTGTGCGCGCATGCGCAAGTCATAACGTGGGTACGACATGAAGTCCGTGTGAATGATTACGTAGCTAACACCCCATATTTCGTGAAATGCAGGGGATCCGCCAGATATCACTGAAGGAAGAAAAAAAATTATTTGTGAAAAAAAGCACTTTTTAAAAACGCCAGCTGAAAAAAGCACCTTTAAAAGCTTTTAAAAACAAAATCTCCCAAAAAGCACCTTTAAGTACTTTTTACAAACGCTACGCACCCTGTGTAACTTTTGAAATACCAAGTTTAAAAAAATAGTGTTATATTTAAGATAACATTTAGTTGAACTACTGAATTAATATTATCTTTTAATCGATGATTTAAATTGTCTTAGCTCCTGAAGGTACTTATCCCAATGGTATAAGAGATGTTTTCAAGCATGCCATGAAAGAAGAAGGAGTCAGAGCTCTATACAAAGGTGCCACTCCAGTTATGTTAAGGGCCTTCCCTGCTAATGCTGTAAGTATCATATTTGTAGTTTACACGAAAAATGATATTATAACACGTTTTTGTTTTGGGTAATTTTGCCAGCAACTGAATTTCGGCTGAAGGGATGATGATCATAGATACTGTTAGCAATATTTTTAAATTTATCTCTTCCTTTTACATGATTTCATTCACTGTGCCTCGCCCAATCATATTGTTAAATGATCAGTGACCAAAGCATAAATCTTCATTTTTTCCACATCAAAATTGAATTTATTTAAATCAGCACTATTTATTAAACATAAATTCATTTTTATAAGTACCTGTTTATTTATTTTTTATCAAGCCACTCGATTCAGTAAGACAAAATGCTATATTTTCCTTCAATCAAAAAGAATTTAAAATTATTCTTTATAGGAAATTTGTTTTTAGTAAATTGAAACTTGCAGTTTTTAGTAATGAATATACTTGGATACAGGAGGTTTATGGAATTAAATTGAAGAATAATGTTTATTTAAAAAAATTAAAGTTCTAGTTCTTTTAGATTATACTTTAAATTTAATTTTTTTTTTCATCATAGTTTGCACTTACAATAATTTTTAATTTTTTCAATAATTTCTCATTTTTCTAAAATAAGAAATTATTGCAAACTTTGCAAAATTTAGTTAGGAAGTTTAGTTTAGTCTTCCACATTATGTTCCAGGAGCAGAATTATGTCTAATGTTCTGTAACAAGACCTGTGATAATTACAAATGTTCTTTCATTATAATATTTTTTTTAAACAATGAATGATTTTTTATTATAAACTATGTTTACAAAAAATTACCCTTAATTAGTTAACCAGTCAATGTATAAACCCTGTTAGCCAGGGTTTGTACATTGGCTAATAAGGCTTGCTGACCGGCTTACAAAATTTCGACGGAGACTTGGTCTCAAATTGTTCTCATATAGAAATAGACGTAAATTGTTCTAAAGGAGCCTTAATTTAATTTGATAACATTTAGTTCTTATAAAATATTCTTTTCTCCTCTCCCCATAGTGACGATTTTCTACATTATAAAAGATGATTTAACTTAAAATTAGAAGGGTACTTTATCTGTATTTTAATGTATTTCTCTAAAATACACGTCAGAACATAATTTTTAATTTACTCAGGCAATATAAATTTTTTAGTCTTGGTATACTTTAAAATAATGAATTGATAATTTTTTAGCATTAAATTAATATAATAATATTTTTACCCTGATAAGGATGCAGGCATTTAATAATTAAGAAATACATAAATAATTTTGAATTTAATATCTTTGGAACCTTTAGTAAATTAAGTTACTTCATCAGATTTAAAAACAGAAATGAAATTAAACAAAATACTTTGGATTAGCCTACCCTTCCTGTACAGTTAAAGCACTGAATCCAACCTTCCTGCAATTTTGACTTGGCTTAGACTGTAGCTTATAGCCTTTAGTATTACCCAATTTTATCTGACTATGTCTTTTAACAGAAATACTTAGGTTTTGCATCACATTTAAAATATTCAATTTTAATATAAAATAAAAGTTTAATTTTAAATTCTTGACAAACATCTATAGTATAAAAATCAAAATTTTTCTTATAACATTTTTTCTAACGAATGGTCTGCACTGTCTTTTATACATCTCTGGTGTCTGCCTGCAATTAGTCTTGTGTGATTTCTGATAAATGACAGCAGTGATTTATCTCAAAATCCCAGATTTGCCTAACTCTTCTTTATAACAAAAATATTTAAATTAAAACTAATCATTACAAGTTCAGTTATGTTATTAAGATTGTATCATTATATATTTCAAAATAATTGAATGTTACAGTTTTAATTTTTTGAAACTACAAAGTGTTTTACCTTTCTATCTTCATAGTATCATTTTCATTAAACATTTTTGCGTTATTTTCTTTCAGGCATGCTTTATGGGTTATGAACTAGCTATGAAGTTCTTGAATTGGGCTGCTCCTAATCTTTGATGATAAACTAGTCTATAAAATAATTCAAATTGTTTAAGCTTAAAATATTTTACTGATAAACCTTAGTGCCTTGTACAGTTTTATACCTAGCTAATATTATATTTATTTACAAATTTTTAAATTATGTTGTAGGTAAGAAAGTTTTATCACGAAAAATGTAATTTTGTGAGTTATTACGTACAATTTGTTGAGAAATATGATTATATAAATCTATAATTTGAAAAAGTAATGATCTTATTGTTTCTTAAAATTAAATTTCTATAATACTTTTCTTATCTACTGCATGTCTAATGTCTTCTTTAATCAAACTTTATTTTAATAAATTATATCTAATTGCTATAAATGTAATAATGACCATTCACCAATATTGTATGCATTCTGCTATAATTTTATTAAATTAAATATCTCTTTGAAAATTCAAATTATTTTATAAAATGAAATTCATTTTTTTTAAATGCATGAGTATTGTTTTTACAAACTAAATGAATGTAAATGAAATTATGTATAGTATTTGCTGCACTGAACTGAGTACAAAAAAATTATTTACTGGAATAGAGTTATGATTATTATGCATGAACTTGAAGGAAATGTAAAATATATACTTTATGTATATTTTTACATTTCTTATATATATATATATATATATATCAATGTATATTATTATTGAATTGTTGTGTTACTATTTTAAAGATGGGCATTATAAAAAATATTCTTAGCCGTATTGACTATTTAAATATTTTTCCTTCATTTTGGATGTTATTGAAATAAAATTTGATTGTTTTGTTCAGATAGGATTTTTATTATATACATCTATATTTTAATTTCATTTTTAGGAAATTTATAATTTAATGTGGATCAAATTTTGTTTGTTAAGTAATAATAAAAATAGCTATGAAATAAAATGCATTTTTATTAGATTGTCTGTTTATATTTTTGTTTTGCATTTGTAAAAGCTTTTTCTATTTTTTTTAAAAAGAAACAAATTTAATAAATGAGACAAATTTGACCCGATATTTAACAATGCTGATATCATAACTATTTTTGAGACATTAGAACAATAATGATCTTTGATTAATAATCCTGTAATTAAAATTTCTGAGTTCAAATTTTTCTCTTTTTAAAGCAGACATTTCACAAAAGTTTTTTTTTCTTAGTAAACAGAAAGTAAGGAGGAAACAGTTTTTTAAGCGCATTAAAAATGTGCTTTAAAATAAGTGAAATTCAATATGAAAATAAGTTTTATCTAGTAAATAAAAATTATGTACCTAAATTATTTTCAGGTTTTACTAAGTTTCTAAAAGAGTAAAATTTTAGAAAGGTCTTTGTTATTATTTATACTTAGTTTTAAGAAAATGAAAAAGTTGAGTTATGCAACTTTGTTAAGTATAAAAGTTTATTGTAACTTAATAGAAGTTAAAGAAATTTTTTCTTCAATTCACATCTCAGACACAACATTAAATTTATACATATATTGTAATAGTTTTAACTCTGTTTTGTGCACACAAAATATTTTAAAACTAAAATTGATGCAGGACAATAATACAAGAGCTCAAAAATACTAAATTTCGCAGTAGAAGCACAAGAAAATTCATGTTTTTTTTGTAAAATTTATTGGTTTTTCAATCATGTTTAAAATATTTTGAAGCTAAGTTAAAAATAAATAAATAAAATGTAAACAAGAGTTTTGTTTAAAATACATTTTCTCGAAAAATTCATTCTTAAAATGTATTTATCACTCACAGTCAGAAATGACTGTTACAGAATTTTCATATTTAATAATAGGAAATATTACATTTATTATATATTTATCATCTAACAAAACATAACTATGTGAAAAAGCTCACTTACTGTTTTGATACTTTATAAAATATTGCTTTCCTGTGTAGCTCATGTAACTGGGATTAGGATGCTTGCAGATAGAAACATGATTTTTACCTATGGATTATCTTTAATGCTAACTTGTATGTTAAAAAAAAAGTATTTGCCTAAAACATTTGTATCTTTTTACATATTTCTTAATTAAAAATTTTTTTTATATTTTATGCATGGAGTATATTTATATTTGCATATAAAAGTAAAAAATAAAAATAACAATTTTGTTACAAATAATGCTTTAATAATATTAAGAAATTCATATTTTGCAGAAAATATAAACAAAATTTTAATCCAAATATAAAAAAGTCACCCATTTTAATCTTTTGGAAGCTTAATTGCTGAATATTTTTCAAAATATTGTTTATACATTGAACTAATTGGCAATAAGGAAAGTTCACTTAAATGTAAAATAAGAGATTTAATATCTTTTCATAGCTCATTAAGAAATGAGAATCTCCTAAGTAAAGGTTATTTTTCAAAAAAATATCGCATTTTTTCTAGTACAGTAATTCTTAATAGTCCAGTTTATACACCATTCAGTCTCAGCTATATTTCATACTACAATTTTGAAAACCATGGAGTTCCAGTAAGTTACAGTGTAATGCCAGCTTATAATACATTAAGAATTATAGTTACAATTTCCAATATGATAAAAAACTGTTAGACTAATTGCAAATATTTTTTGAAAAAAAGAATACTGAATGTTAGAATTATGAGCAGATGTTTATTTTTCCTGAACTGAGCTAATTTAAAAAATAAAATATGAAAAAAATGAACTAGTTTTTAATAATAAACAAGTTCAAATAATAAAATATGAAAAAAAAATGAAATAATTTTTAATGAGAATTAATAATTAATGAAAAGATTTAGCAAATAATTATCTTAACTTGCAAGTTCAGATAACTTTCAAGGCTTATACTTATTGAATCAGATTAAATTGTGAAGTCTACAGAAAATAGGGAATTAAGAAAAAATTTATATTAGCTCTTTTTTTCTTTCGAATTGATTTTCTTGACAGTAAAATAATTTTACAAATTTCATCTTCATATGCTTTGCGAAATAAATTAGAAAATTTGCAAAACATTAATGGCTGCAATCGAATACATGGTTAAAGCATATTTCAAAATCATAAGTTTAAATTAGGTAAAAAAAAATTTTTTTTGCATCAAACAAAAGATTATAGAAATTTGAAATAAATAAAAAAAATTTCTGAATTCTTTTCAATTTTGGTGGCCAATTTTTTCTTTGAATAAATCAAAAATAGGAATAAAAAAATTCCTAAAATAGTGTTATTTAAAATTTTAATATTGAATAATATTTAATTTTGACTAAATACTTAATTGCTTCAAAAGTAATACATATATTATAACTAGAATATTTGCTACAAAGACTCAGGATAGAGGTGACCTATTACGCATTTAGAAAATCTACAGTTTTATAACTATGCAGTGTTTAAAAATGAAAATTAAGGTTGTAAATGGCAAAGGTCTTAAACAAATTACTTATATAATTAAAAATATTATTTAAAATTAGTGATATTTATGGGTATTTTTCAGTGATACATATTCTGCAGTGTAAAGAGGACAACCAAATATAAGTTTTAATTGCCAAAATCGAGCAATCCAAGAGAGAAAACATTAAATTTAAACCCTTTTTAAATAATTTGCTAAATTTATTCAAAAACATTTTATGTTATTAAACTGTAAACAATTTATGTGTATTAATTACTTGTTTTAATTTTCCAACTGTAAACTACGTTCCCCTTGATGTAAATATTTAATAATTTTGATATCTGAAACTGCCTGTACCATTTTCAAGACTGAAAATTTTGAAATGATCATGGCCTATGTTCTATGGTAAGCTTTTCAAAACTTATGACAGTTCAAAGTTGTTTTTTTTTTTTGCGGATACTTTTTCTCATCTTACAATAAATAAAAAGTATCCGCAAAATTACAGAATCTCTGCCATATATCCGCACGCGATGTACGTCTATATTATCTAACTGCTGCCTGGTTCCATTTACATTATATTTAAAAAATAAATAAGTCATTGCATTTGACTTAAAAGGCTGAGTTTTTTTCCAAGTTAATGAAGAAAAAAGTCCAACTTTTCAAAGGAAGTTAATTTCTTCCAATTTCCCAAGAAAACAAGATTTGTTTTTTATGCTTTTCCCTACCTATTCAAACACGATTTAAGATTGTGTTCCTAATTTTCAAGGAATTTCTATAAAATATATCCTTTTGTATCCCTATGATTTAAAAACCACTATTATGATAAGTGTTCAAGTGACTTAAAGATTATACAGTGAAAAAAAATTGTAAAACATAATGAAAATTATACACTAGAATTTGTATTTGCAAAATTTTAAAATTAAATATCAGAATTCATATTCACAAGATTCACACCATTTTAAAAAACATTTAAAAATTAAACATTCACACCATTTTAAAATTAAATATAGAGAATCATATTCTCGTGATTTAAAACTCTTACATTGAGATTCATATTCCTACAATTTAAATGATAAAATAATATAATGTCGGTATTTTTTATTAAAACTCCTTAACATTTTGTGGATAAATGCTTCCTACATACACTTTTTTCTTGCTCAAATTTCAGGTATTTTTTTCAAGTATTTAAAATTGTTTTTCGCATAACATTTTTAGATTTCTTTTTTCAGCTTTTTTACCAAACTCATACATGTGGTACAAATCAATATGGAGTTTCAAAAAAATAAAAACAATTTTAAAAAAATCTATGATTTTTAAACAAATCTTGCCAAAAAGAGGTGAAAATAGGGAATGAAAAGGTTGAAACTAGTTATAGAAGATAATAAATTACTTGCAGAAAGTTATTTGAGATTTTATATTCACAGAAAGTTTTTTCATTTTCTTAGTCTGGGTATGAATATTACCATTTGAGTTTACGTCCTTGACCAGGGGTCTGTCTAGGTTTTTCTGAGAGGTACCAATTTCGTAAAAATTTAGACATAATTTGTGAAAATTAAAAACTATTAAGAAATCAACACAAAAATATAGATTAATCGTTTCTTACGGGATGCAAAAATAAAACTCTTAAGAAAAAGTATATTGTGAAACTACCGTTTTTTCTAAAATTGAATTTTTTTAGGTACCACTAAACGGTAGCAAATTTGGCCAGGACAGACCCCTGTTGTTTCTATTAGTTTCTCGTCTCACAGCTATCAGTAAAACTTGGCAACTATTTTGGCATAGGCACCGATACAGAAATCATTACAAATAAGCAACATAATTTTAATGAAATAAGTGATAATACAAAAAAAGTTTTAACTATCAACTTTATTTTTTTTACGTGATTTATCATTCTTAGAATCAGCTTCTCGTTGTCGCTTATCAGTTAACTTTGCGGACGTATTTGATGGCTTAGGAACTTTGCACGCATGAATTATCCAACCTTGATGTTTAGGCAAATTAATCATTCCAGTAATGGATACAATACCACAACCAGTCTTTGATCGAGTCCCGGCGTGAGATAGAACAAGCTTACCATTTTTACGAACAGCTGCATGAGCTTCATTTCTTTTCAAACCAAAAAGTAAACCTAAATTCTCAACATCTTCGACAGACCTAAGCTCAAGAGGTTTAGTTGCACCACTAGATATAATGAGGTTTTTACTCTTTGTAACCTCAACAAGAAGCTGAGAGTTACTAATGGTACGCCTTTTCATAGTTTGATCTCTTAAGCAAGGAGCGTAAGTTATTTCAAGGCATTTACCTTTATTAATTAAAGGACCAACGAAAGTTTTTTTCAGCCGAAATCCAAAGTCTTCAGTCAAATTTAGGCTGATGATATCAACATCAAATTCCGAAACTTTATGAAGCATATTACTACCGACTGGCTGAAAAGCAAGAATGTCATATTTCTTGGTAATAGGAGAGTTTAATATGTGGTGAACATGCATGCCATCTTTAATGACAGCAGTTAATCGAGTTAATATACGAAAATTTCTAGATGTCTTTACTTTAAAATCGACGATTTTAGGTTCTGGAATATTTATTTTTTTACCCGTTACTTCGGATGAATCAAGGACTGTATTCAATGCGATACATTCGTAACCAAAATCAAACGCTCGTTGAATAAGATTTTTTACATCAGCTTCATAATTTTCACCAGGTTCTAAACATATATTAAGATCCATGCCGGTATTTTTGAAATGTAAACAGAAGTTTCAAAAACAAATGAATCATACAGTGAAAGTTACAGTGTCTTACGCTTCGTCAGTTTGTTCTTGTGAAAATAGAGCTTAAGGAACATTCACACTGCAGATGATTACCCTAGACACGCTTGCGAGTGTTAAGTAATTGGCAAATTACTTACTTTTAAGTAAAGCGCAAATTACTATGTATGGATGGTGTTTTCTACACTAGGGAGCGCTGCAAGCTCGGGACTGCCTAAATTTCCGGGTTACTGTTTCAGTTGTATTTTAAAGCCATTTGGCATCATTGTGTTTTGAGATTCTTGCAAACAATGCATTTGATTACTTATGTTTACAATGCTAACAATACTGTTTACAATACTAAAAGTGTTAACACTAACGTAAGATGGTGCACAGCTTTCAACGTGAACAAACAGTAATAAACAAATGGAAAGAGGCTAAATCAAGACTGCTAAAAAAGCGAGTTATTCAAAATCTAGCAACCATGTCACATTTTTTAATAATAAATAACAAAATAACTGAAACAAATTTTCACTCCAAACTCCCCAGAATTACATAATAACATTAATATTTTATGAAATACGTCAGATTTGAGCTCAGAAATTATCTAGTTTATTTCTTTTATTGAAAACAAAATTATCCGTTTGAAAAAAATCGCCTATCAGAATAACATGTAGTAAGCAGCTGCGAACTTTTTAACCGGAACTAGAGTAGGTCCCGAGCTCGAGATTGTTATTGTTCACATTTCTATTGAAAACACCATCCATTCGAATTTCTTCTCCCCGAATATTTTCTCTTTAAATTGTTTGAGGATTTTAATTGAAGAGTTTAAATTTTCAGCCTAGAAAAGTCTTAGAAAATTACAGTCTTAGAAAATTACAATATCTCGTTATACTGTCGTTTAATCCTTTGCAGTTTTTTTTGGATTTAGTAGTTAGTAGTTAGGGTTTAAGCTTTTGAAAAAGTAGTTTTTTGAATCGCAGAAATTTTTTTTCATTCATATTCAAAAATTTATTTTGCATATTGAAGTAAGTCAACGATGAATAGCTATTTCTCTTTCATTTAAATAAGTGCAAATTTTAAAAACTTTTTTGTATCGAAGTGAGCCGTGTTTGAAAGATTTTACCATTAACGCAGAAAAAAACACCGGTGTTTCATATTGTACATCATAACCATTAATTAATAAAATGCTAAATATGATTTTTTTTCCACTTATTTTGCTTAAACTAATACATATAATGAGGTAATGGAATTAATCTGCAAATGTGCAAATGTATTTTTTATTTGTTTTTAAACTTTAAAATAAATACATAAATAAAAGAAGTAAACATAAAATTTTATTTCAAAATTAGTAATTATTATAATACAGTAAATTTTTATCATTAATTTTAGAGCAAAATCAAATTCTAATTAATTTCGCTTAGAGTGGATATAAAAGACAATGTTAATGACCATTCAAGAATAAATAAATAAGTATTAATACTAAGCAAAATAAAAATTTTAAATTTATTTATAAGCAACGAAAACTATAGATGAAAATGTTTCTCTACCCGGCTGGTAAAAAAATTGTCTTTATATTGAATAAATTTCAAAATTTACTCAGCATGATCTGATCATTGGGTCAAATGTTATTCAGGGGGCTTCGTTATTTACATACAACCATTGATACATGCATTGAATGTTCAAACATACGTACATTGTAGATAATCATGTACGAACATTGTATATAGATATGTACTATGAGTTAAATTTAAAAATAAAAAAAAAAGCGATCATGTGTAGTCGGCTCCCATGATCAGGTCTTTTACAACAGTGAGTTTAATATAAACAGTAAAATAAAAAGCAAACTATAATTTTCAGTTTAACAAAAAGGAGATTCGCCTAGATGAGCGTTTAAATGACTTTATTGAATTACCACGTTACATCCGATCAGCTGTCACTGATACGGTTTTTTCCCTTATCAACTGAATAAATAATTCAACAGACAGCACAGTTTCGAGCGAACCCAACTGGTCGGATTGTTGTTGTTCGCTCATTCTTTGAATAAATAAATTTATCTCTAAGTTTCGGTTTAGAATTCTTTATCATCAGTGTCTTCAGCAGGTGTAACGTCGATCAACATGACATCTTTTCGTGCTTACGTTAGTAAGTAGTTTTACTTTTTCCTACATTTTATTTTGTTTTCATTCAACAAAAAAAATTGTTTATAAGTTTCCCTATCATGCGGTTCAAATTTTAAAATTCGATTTTTTTTCGTCTCTATTCTTAATTTTTTACTCAATTTAACTTTGGTTTGACACTTTTGTGAGTTTTCCCATCCTCTTATCAATTTACTCCCAGTTTCCGGAAAGGAGTTTCCTCCTTTATTCTCCTACCGAATAAACATAATTTCTCAAATCCTTTCCTAAAATCTAAGGTGACCAGATTTTTAAACCATGATTTGAGGACAAATCATTGGAGCATCCTCAAAGAAGTTCGCGATTTGAGGATACCCATATATTTATGAAAAATATTAATTTATAAGTGCAATAAATATTTTTAAAAAGATTGATAAGTATTATCAGGCAGAATTATCTTCATCAAAATTGATTTCATTATTAATCAGTTATGAAATATTATTTACTATTCTGAACTTGAATACAGGTAAAATGGGATGAGTACATGATTATTAAAATTTGATTATTTTTTGCTAAAATTATTATAAAGCGAATATGGCTCTTTCATCTGCTAAATTTAGCATTGTGCTTTTTTGCTGTTCATTTATAATCTTTGTATGACAAAATTATCGTCTAAAAAACATGAGCATTTCTTATTTTTTTGATATTTTATTGTATAGAAAAGGAAAAAAAAAGAAAAAAGATTATCACTTTTTGTGCAAATAAAGTTTGGTATGTAATTTTTTCCCTATAATTTTATTTTTCTATGACGGAAGAAAAATACACCCTTTCCCCCTAAAATTGGAATTTTGGTATTTTTTAAAGTTTTTTATATAAATAGTTTTAGTTTAAATAGAAACAGAAGAAAAAATATTAAATATCTTCATAACAATCTTCTCTTTTCAGATGAAATACTAATGGGAATCTAAATCTCTTTAAATAAGTATAAATATGTAATTTTTAAATTTTTAGTTGTAAATTTTCTCCAAAAAGACCTATAAAAATAATCTGATGTGATGTTCGAAAAATGCTTAAAATAAACTACAGTATCACCAAATCAATTCTCTGATTATTTTTAAAATTTATTAAATGATGTAAATATTAAAATCCAAAGTTAGGAAAACTTTTTTTTAAAAAATCTTTTTTAAGACACATTATGCTTGTTACAGTTAAAAGCATGAATGAAAATGAAATAGGCTTATCTCAGTTTTTTTATGCTTTATTTTCCAATTTATGTTTGAAATTTTTCTGTAAATAAATTTGTATTGCATTATGATTTTAATCATTTTTGTGATACTTTGAAAATGCATTTTTTGAATTAAAAACAGTTCTAACAGACAATATTAATTAATTTGTAATACTTTCATTTCATTTATTTAATTTAGTTCTGCAATATATTGATAAGCAAATTGCAGATCTCTTAGTGGCTGAAAGGAAAAACTAAAACTTTTTGTGGTAAAGTGTACATGTGCCAAACTACTTTTAAAAAGGGCAAAAAACAAAGTAAAAAAAGTTTAATTTGACCTTCTTGCATACAAAAAAGGTAAATTTTATTGCAAAATAAATAAATAAATAAAATAAATTATTTTAAATTTCAGAGTTTTATTCTAAAAAGTCCTCCATGTTCCCACAGCAAATCAATACCTCTAGGGCTACTGAATTGAAGATTGATCATTGTCTGGTTCAGGTCAAAATTACGATCTGCGGCTGAATGAATGGTTCTATAAATATGTCCGCCCTATAAACGGGTGTGACGTATGGGAGTGGCGGAAGTCGAATTCTTGGCCATAGATGCCACTGGAGAACAGGAACTGTCGCCTCCCTTCTTCCTTAATGGCCGACGACAAGAACAGCAGCTGGTTCTTAATTAATACGTTAAATTTGAAGGAAAAAAAATTCTAATAGTATATCTCATTGAAAAAAGAAATTATAAGTTTCTATGCCTGACAGCTAAATTTTAGATCAAGCTTCGCATTTTATCTCTCATCCTTTTAAATAACTTTATATTGAATTCGCAGACAGACAAACTGTACAAAAGGGATAAAATTTTATTTAATTGTTTTTTTTTATTGTTTTGCGTAAACTTTTTTATTCACAGTTAGCCAGAAGTCAATGAATTTTTTTTACAAATTTAATTTTATTTATTTATTTGCTAAACAGTATTTTTTTTAGTAATATATGGCCAGAAGTCAATTAAAAAATAGTTCAAAATAGTTTTTTTTTAAAATCTATTACAAGACAACTCAATAAAATTTTCCTTTCCAATAAAATTACAGGAAAAAGATTTAATATCCTAGTTATTTGATAGGAATGAATGACGTCGATTAGGAAAGTAATTATAGACAGTTAATTGAATTTTCTGATAAAAATCTGTTGAGAGGATCAAAGTATTTATCGGCAGACATTGAATCCAAAGGTTGAAATATTTTACCATAGTTTCAAATTTTTCATGTGCGCAGAAAAATTACACCTACCATTTGAAATGGCAAATTTAGTTTTTTTTATATACTAGAGATGACTTCTAAGTATGAAAGCCTAATAACCAAGTATACAAGAGAATAAAACAAGTAAATTGGGATTTTAACATTTTCAAATTAGTCACATTGCTGTGTAAATTACCATTTTGAAATTAGTAGCAAGTTGCATAAATTTTGTATTTTCAAGTAAGTAATGGTACTGCATAAATTTTGCATTTTTGACTTAGAAATAGTGCTGCACAAATTTTGAGTTTTCAATTTAGTGACAGTGCTGCATGAATTTTGTATTTTCAAGCTAGCAATAGTGCTGCATAAATTTTGCATTTTCAAATTCATCACATTGCTGTATAAATTACCGTTTTTAAATCAGTAACAGTACTGCATAAATTTTGCATTTTAAAATTTGTCACAATGCTGTATAAATTACCATTTTCAAATTAGTAGCAGTGCTGCGTAAATTTTGTATTTTCAAATTAGTAACACTGCTCTACCATTTTTGATATAATAAAAGTGCAGTGAATATACGTCTGTAAATTTACAATTTCATCATTATTATTTTTCACGTTAGCCGTTTACAATTTAACCTTTACAGTAATATTTTCATAAAAAACACTTTTGAAAATTACTTTTATTGTATTTTATTATTTTATTTTCGTTTGATGTAGAAAAAATATTCCATAAATGTAAATATAATATTAAGTAGTTTAAATTTTAATGAATGATTATCTTATTGGCTATAGATATTAGTACTGTTTAGTATTTGTTTATGATTTTTTTTAATTTTTTAAAAATGTAAATTTTTTTAACAGAAATTTATTTAAATTTTTTATGAGACATAAACTATATCCCAGTGGACTAGTCGACCCCTTTTTTTGAATATGAGATAGCAAATTTTTGTTATGTTACGTCAGGCGTATAAGTCGACCGCTGAAAAAACCAAATTAATGAAGAAAAAAAATTCCCCCGAAATCTAAAATTAAATCCCGCTGATTAAAGCGGAAATCTTTCAAAAATTAGAAGAAAAAAAAACCCCGTAAAATATTAATAAGGATTCAAAATTTTCTCAAATTAAAGATATTTCGCATTGTTCTCTCTGGATATTTGTCTTTAAATTAAGATGCTATGAGACATAATAATAAAGCAAAATAATAAATAAAGAAAGAAAAATAAATCAACATAACCCTTAAATAAGGCAAAAAAATTTCTTTGAACGTAATTTAAAGATATAAAAGAAACTTTATATGTAAAAAAATAGATGAGAGAAAATGCAAAATTAATTGTATTTAATGTATTAAAAATTATTTTTGAAGGAGATTAATTGATATTGAGAGTTACTCTTATCTATATCATTAATTACAATTCATCGATATTCCACCATCAACGAATGTCCGACTTCAGTGTATAAGTCGACCCCCTGGTTTTCGTAAAATTTAGGGGGTCTGAAAAATTGACTTTACACCGGAATATACGGCTAATGAACATTAATAATACTGTTTATTAAGAGTCAAGAAATGATAAAGTGAACATGTGAGCGAACGGGTGCTTAAAATTGCAAAAATTTTAAAGTAATACAAGTAAAAACATAAGTGTAAGTATAAAGAAATGCTGCAAAAAAAAATTTTTTTTTCACTGTTCCGAATTTCTATTTTACTGCCGTAAAATAAGATAAACAAATATGAATTATACTGCCAGGGGCTAATAGTTTTAAGTACACGTACGTCGACCTCCGGTTTTAACTAAATAAAAGAATATGGATATTTCATATATTAAATGACCCTTAAAGTAAAAACAAACACGCATGTTGTTATATTATGGTCAAATTGAATACAATAATGAATAACTTTAATAACTATTTAGAAAAAAAAAATTAACATTTTTGAGAGGTTTTATCTGAGTACAATGTAATTTATTTTTGTGTATTTTATTTTATTACCGTCGTTGAACAGCTGACCCACTTTTTTATTGTTACGGTGGATTACAGACACAAAACTACTACTTATCAATTTAACCTGTGATCGTTTTATTTTATGCATATATTGTCGAATTAATTTACATACTTCAACTATTTAAAATACTTAGATTAATAACACTTTAATAAAATACAAAATTTAAAAAACAAATTAATTAAAAGGCTTTGATTGGTAACAAATAAACTAATTGGCATGGAGAGAACTTACCCATACTGATGTTCATATTGGAAGTTGGTGAACCTCAAAAAATGACTCGGTTCTACTCTCTCTACTTCTCTGCTACTGTTTTTGTTGATCTTTTATACTAAACTTTTTGCAAGATAAAACTATTGCTAAATTCTGGAAAGGTCACACAAGAGATCAAACTTGGACTATAGACTTCTGATTAACCCTTTCCGACACGTATTTCTTAACTTTAATCAAGAGAGTTTATTTGTATTTGCTTAAGTTCTATGTACTAATGGAAGTTTCCACAATATTTTAAATCTAATCAATTATTTTGCAATTTACGATGAATCTATTTTAAATGTTTTATTGTGATTCTGAATTAAGTGACGATAAGCGTCACATTAGGGTTTACGACTACTAATGTTCAACTCTGTAGTCTTGTAATTTTGAACCCAAACTGGAAAACAAGGGAACTTCTGGATCAAGTATTGGGAGAAATTTGCCTTCCTGGAGGACTTGTGAGGAAACTAACCCGCATTTGCGTTACATGGAGAGGAAAATCTCCCATGGTTAGCCTGACGGCAAAAGGACTCTAACCCATGATCCGTCTACCACTGAGGATATTTTATGTCAGCACTGTGGTCATTGCAAGTCGGATGCGGAATTCGTATCGACCAGCCATCGCTGGGATTCAAACCCGGTTCACCTTATTGGAAGGCAAAAGTTCTATCTCCTGAGCCATCACGGCTTAACCACGTATTGTGCCAGTGAATCAGTGCATGATATCTGAAAAGATAGCCGTAGAGCAAATGGCATGTAATCAAACTAATTTTTACATACGAACGCGTGGCAATTCATTAGTTAATTAGTTAAATTGCATTAGTTAAATTTATATTCATTTTTTTCAGGAACGAATAAAAAAAGTTTTTTCCCAGAAGACCCAGTTATACCTTCCAGTGTGAAAGACTTGATGTATATTCATTATGATCCACGAGTCACAGACTTAGAGGACGACTCTTCGAGCGAATATGACTCATCGAGTGATGACGATGAGGATTTGCGATCCATAACTTACAAGCGACATATGGATGAATCTGAAGAAGAAGGACTATTTACAGGTAAATGGATGCTGTTTCACGACTCATCGAGAATTGACATTGCTAGGGGGATGACAGAACACGATTACGCTTGGCAGTTCATGTTCTCTCTTGTTGATAATTACAAAAACACCAGCGTGTCATCTGCTTGTTGTTCCACTGGTTACAGAGGACAATATCCTAAGATGCCGAATGATACAAATGGACTGATTTGTTGTTTTACGAAAGATTATAGAGATATGGGAGATGTTAAGAGAGCGGCAGATTCCATTAGAAAATCATTACATTATCCACGCGATATGCACTACAAAACAGATGAGGCAACTGTTTTAGGCTTATATAGGTGCTATGGCCATAAACATGTAACCATTTATAAGCATAAGCCTGATGGCAGTATGTACGTAAGAGATAAATTATATCCACTCCTTTGGAGACCAGTAAAATTTGATGATTGAAGAAATTGATGACGCCATTTGCAATTAAATTGTCTGATTCAAGTGCTTACCGGTTCATTGTGACTAAAGTTCTTTTTGTATCAAATAATTCACTGCAGATGGCATCATATTCACTGCAGCTAATAAAACGACAGCGCAGAGCGAAGAAAGACGATTGTTTTTTATACGAAATTATTTATATCTGCAAGTGATTTTTTTAAATAAAATTTATAACTGATCAATAAAATACTAAATGTCAATAAATGCTTTTATGTGATTTTAAGCGAAATTTTTTTGTCTCATATACATATTTCGTTAATCTCTCTTTTCTTTTAACGAAACCTTTTTACTCCTTTTGTCTTTATTGTATATATATATATATATATATATATATATATATGATTTTTTAGTAAATTAGTATTGAGAGCAACATGATTAAAGAGTCCAGTTGTGCATAAT